CAGTATAATTGTAGATTTTTTACTTAATATTATTATTTTTATTTATTTATTTATTTTTGGTTTTTCTCCAGTACCGGGAACCGAACTCACAACCTTGCGCTTGCCAGGCAGGTGCTTTGCCGCTGAGCTAAATCCCCAGCCCCTAATATTATTATTAATGATAGTATGAAGCTATATACTCTTTATTTAATAAGCAAAATCTCAGCAGAGAACAAAAGAGCACAAAAATTATACTTGTAGAAAACACAAAACAGAAATAGGCCTCAAATCTAATACTTAAACTAAGATACAGCATATAAAATCAAATTTTGTCAAAGATGTTTAAGATATAAAGATGCTTTAAATAAATACCTAAAAAATCAACTTCTAAAGCGGTGCAAACACAGATAATAATTATCAACTACGTGTACACACATAAAGTACTTACAAAATTTTAACAGCCATTTCATTTGGATGGTAAGATCCATGGTGTTCAGTGTTTTCTTTTCTATACTTTTGCATATTTCAAATTCTAAAAAATGCAACTTTCTTTTAGAAAAAGTGTTTTAACAGAAAATGTGTTCATTAAATATAGGGAAAACATCAAACTACTTTAATACATATAATGACTTCATTCATTTATTTTCAGGTCTTTTAATGTATGGAAATTAGATTATTCCCCCCAGTTTAATGGACCCAAATGTTATAAAATGGCTTTGTAAGAATTTTACTCAGCAAGACCCCAGTGGTTTTTTTCCCCTAGTGGAGCTTGGAACCAGACACTGCTGTGTCCACAGTAGTAAATATGTTAGAGGACTCTTCTTATGTTTGTTTGTTTTGTTTATCTACATGAACAGAAAATTAAATTTAAGATGATAAAAGAGAAATCCAAGGTTTGAAAAGCAAGATATTGATCCTGACTTCCCAGCGGAAGAAGGTACAGGCAGGATTGTTGACCTCAGCCATAAAAATCTTCCTGTAGAACTGGAGAAGTACTGCACTTTGGATTATTTTTCTAGTGGATCTGAGCTAATTTTGGTGCCCAGTGCAGGAGACCTCTGTGGTTAACGCAAAAGTGGGAGAATCAAACTCTGCCCTCAGAGGACTGCTCCATGCATAAGAACAGAAACATAGATGGACAAACGGTGTTAAGGACCTTCTCCTGCACAGATCTGGGTATAAATAGGAAGCAAGCTGAGAAAGCATTGTGATAATTAACCATCAAATTGAGTCAGTACAAGTTCTTTTACACTCCCAATCTCCCCAAGAACTCTCCAATACAATTAGAATAACAGCAGCTGTCTGTCTTCACTTCATCACGTCTTTGCTTATATTACTGATGGTCATCATTCAGCCCTTTTGTCACCTCATGAGAGAGTGGACCTCCCTAAATGTGCTCATGCAGGTCACCACAGCCAACTTGCCTCATTTTTATTTACTTCAGAACACTTAATACATCGAAATTTGTCATTTCTGTAGGTGTACTTTGTTAATGTACTTTCTTTGTGTACTTTGTAACAATTTGAATATTATCTTTATGATGACTGCAACTTACCTTTCTTCCAAAGGTATTCAATTTAATAACTTTAGCAACACAGTTACCTAAGAAACAATCTGAGCATTCAAATGTTATTTCATCTTGATCTACGGGTAAGTAGGGTAAGTAGGTAGAAGTGGGAAGTGTATGTAGCATATTCTTATAGTCTCCTAATGAATGAAACATGTCTTAAGAAATATAAAATACTCCAATAAACTTTGAGGAAAATTCACAGGTAATGGGGAAACTTGGAAATATCAAAAGAAAGTCTGAGTAACAAAATAACAAAGGGCTATACATATGCATCAAATAAACAATGGCTGCTTGGAAAATAAGCTTTTATTGATTAACATAGCTTCTTGATGCTCTATTGAAACTTTTAAAGAATTAGGAACATAAAAAATGACCTTTCATGTGACCACTAATGCTTATAAAAATGAAGCTGCAAACTGTAGGAATTCAAAGTTCCATGAAATAAATTATTTAGTTTTGAGCAATTGTACACATCTGTAACAATGCTTTCATTCTCTGATCTGCAACCTTTGGGTTCCTTTTTTTTCAAGGGTAAACCCAGAGATAATAATAAAATAAGCAAATTTCAGTCAATTTTTAATTTCATTGACTCATTTTATTCATTTTTTTCACTGCTGGCTATTTTAAAAAGCATTCAAAATTATTGTCAAGTTTCTCACTCAGAATGAATAGATGCTTTGTAATTTATAAAAGGAAACTTTCTTCTTCCATGAACAATCATACCCCATTGTTCATAATATTTATAATCATGTGTGGTTATGTGCAAAAATCTTGAAAACTACTGCTTTGCTTGTGTTATTTAAAGCTTTCCATTTTCCAAGCTTATTAAAATCAAGGCTAAATCATTTCAGTGAGCAGAGTCTTAAAGATTTAGTTGCATTGTCACAGGTCTAAGAATAAATTAAAATGTAAAACTTGAACTTGGGAGACATTTAAATGATCAAACTAAAGCATGAATGCAGGATAAACCTAATCGTACCAGCACAGGAATGAGGCTTTACTAGCAAGTCTCTTTCAAGAATCAATAATGTTAGTGAGCAATATTAAGTGATGTGCTTAAGAGCCCAACTATTAACATACTTAACCAGCTTGTCTCTGACAGCAAATTTGGTCACCTTGTAGAGAAGCAGCCAACATATTAAAATGTAAATTATGTGTCTCTATGCAATAGCCTTCTTTTTAAATTGCATTATCCATTAGAATCAAAGTTGATTTTTCAAAACTAAAGCAAATCATTTCTTTTGAATATGGTACTGTTGCAATAGAATAATATGAATATTATAAGACTTGGGGAGAGCATCCAGACTTAATCAGTTCCTCATAATATCCCTTGGATGAAACCAATTCTCTTACTATGAATTAGTTGTTTTTTTTTTTTTTTACTTTTTGCAGACACAGTAGTAAAGATAATGTTTCTTTTATAATTTGCAATTCATTTAAAAGCAAAGAGACACGGTATTATAAGCAGTTTACATATATTGCATAATTATAATATTTTTAAAAGAATTTGGTCATCTTTTACTAAAATTTTAAAGAATTTATTCAACATATATTTTGACTTCGTATTGCAACTTTCACCACTTTCCATTCAGCATAATTATTTTCAATGTTTTATATGTACATATATTATGTATATGTATCTATACATATGTATACCATATATGTATGGTACGTACGTTTTTTCTTCTTGCTTTTAGCATCTTTTAGATAAGACTATTTGTCCAACCCTATAGCGCACATAAAAAGTCACCACAGATAAAAAGAAATTTCCCATGGTATTATACAAATCCATCACCTCTCCTTGACCCAATAATATTGTCTTGATTTTGATTTTGTTAACTTGGGCTTACTGAAACTTGCTTAATCTCTGTATTCAGCTTCACCCACAGTTTTGGCTGTTTCTTTGTGATTTGCTTTCTATTTTGATTATTGAACTTGAACTGTGTATATTTATTCTTCTAATTGTCCTATTTTCTTCATATTATCTACAACCTGTGCACTGAAATATCCTCTCTCACTTTCATAACACAACCCAAGTAGTCCATTTTTGGGCTTGCAAGAGAAAGAAGGACAGAGTTATTCAGGACTGGTATTCTAATACATACGTGTATTGTTCACTTATTAATCTTTGCTCTGAAGAGAACAAACTTAAGTGGTGGGTAAATCTTAATTAATGAAGACATACAGATACTAGGACCGGGGCTGGGGATTTAGCTCAGCGGCAAAGCGCCTACCTGGCAAGTGCAAGGTCGTGAGTTCGGTTCCCAGTACCGGAGAAAAAAACCAAAAAAACCAACAAAACAAACAAACAAACAAACAAAAAAAGATACTAGGACTATTTTACATATACAACCAGTTCAGAAACACAATACCCTATGCATCCCACCACTTATTTGTTATGTGTTGTAGACTGTTCTTATTATGAAGCATTTTAATATGATTTTATGTACAAAGTGTGATAAAATGTGAATGTGTAAAAATTTTAAACAACTTTATTACAGTAAAAGGCATTAACCCTTCTCAAGATACTTCCCAGTACTTCGGTCGCTCTTATTCCATCATTCTTGCCCCGTTTTGCAGCGGTTCTGGAAGTCTTCATCTCTGAAGGGCTTCAGTTTGTGCTATCGGGCTGCCCCAAAGTCCCGAATGAAATTCAGAAATATTTGTCTTTCATGACTGTTTTGACTTTGGAGAAAAGTCAGAAGTTATTCAGTGTAGGACCTGGTGAACAAGGTGGGTGGTGACATACAGTAACAGTTTCGATAGAAATGGGCATAAATATTGTGAGTCAATTTAGGGCTTTGGGGCAGCTACGAAAAGATACTCATAAAAGAGGACTTCTAGTGCCATCTTAGAAAGTTGGCAAGAATGATCCAGTAAGTGTGTTCAGAGTGAAAGACTCACTTTGTGAGTGAGTACTGGCAATGTGTCTTTTGCTGTAATAATATTTTAAAATGTATATTGAAACACTGACTTTTGATTACACCTTATATTATTGTCCCTATTAAAGGAATGAAGAAAACAAATAATTAGTTACAAACATACACTGTACTGATTGACTATGAAATAAACATTAAAGAACTTTGTGAGAAATATAGCAGTTTACCTATGCTACATTGTGTATGTATAATAATTATTATTCAAATAATACAGCAACAACTACTTTCTGAATGTGTTACATGTTTTAAATGTCTTAATAGTAACAGGAAAAGAAACAATATAATCCATGCTATCATTAAGCTTACATTCTACTATTAACCTACCCACTAAAATTTTTATGAAACATACAACAGTATATGGATATAAACTCCATGAATCGAGACAGAAAAATAAAGAAAAGAGAGAATTCCCTTGAAGGAAATGACTTCATAAAGATATTGTGAGTCGAACAATGACCTAAAATACTAGAATTTGTAATGAAAAAACACAGAGAATGTTCATTCCAGGTAATAGAAACAGCAAATGCAACACCTCGTGGTGGGAGAACACCTGTGTATGTTGGAGGAAAGAGCTGGCTGTTGTGAGTGGGAAAATAAGAGAGATAAAGTTAAAGGATTGTTGATGCAAGATTATACTGATGTCTACATATAATGTTTATGTATATAGTTTATAAGAATTTTTCTTCCAGTGAACCAGGAAGCCACCTGATGGCTTGATTGACATAGTCCTATTTAAATTTTAATAAGGCCATTTTACTGCTGGTTTTAGGAGACCCTAGACAGAGTGCAATGAGGGCTGAAGAAGAACCATCAATTTCTAGGTTGCTTCACTAAGCCTGGCTGGAGAATATTAGCTTGGACAGTCTGAGAGGTAGTAGTGGAGTTAAGTGATAAAGTCTCACGTGAATTTAGAGCATGAAGCAGACTTGATTGCATGCTACATGTGAAGTACACCTGAAAGAAGGAGGTCAGGGATGCCTTCAAGGAGCCTGAACCACATAATTAGTAAAGAAAGGGAATCTGGGGAGAACGAGGTTCTGGGAGATTCAGACCTCACTGCTGAGTAGCACAGGCGGGTGTTTGTGAGACAGATGAACGGTGATCTTAAAAACGGAATTGAAATAGATGCTGAAAACTCAATGGGAACTGCTGCAAATAATATATTTGGGAGTTGCTATCATTTAGATCATACATAACAGACCCAGCAATTAAAGAAACCATTCTAGCACTGAGGGTAGATTAAAGTAAAGCAACGGTTCTTTCTCTGAGTCCTCTTAACATGATAGGGCATGGAAACGCTAAGGTCAGAGATCATGACTCATCAGTTTGCACACACACCAAGAGGGTGGGTAAATGTTTACTTGTGAAGTTTACATGATATATGAGGCTTTGCAGGACAGCAAAGCAGCCTTCCCAGTCTCGTCTAAAATGCTCTGAGAGAGCAAAGAAGGCACAACCTCCCTTGTTTGTTTGTTTGTTTTGGTGTTTTTGTTGTGTTTAGACAGAAGCTCAGACTGCGGGTTCAGCCAGGGGCTTATGTGGTTTGATTTTCTCAGAACAACCAAAGAAGAGAGATCTCAGCTTTCTTATGGGTTTTCTTATGAAGAGAAAGCTGAAGACCTGGACTGAAAAGATGTCAGCAGTCAGATATCAGAAAAGAGTTTGGAATTCTTATAATAGGAGACAGGTGTGAGTTTTGAGTTAGGTAGTAACTTGGAAAAAAAGTGAAAAGAAAAGACACTTTTATCAGAATTGAGTTATAACCTGGAGCAAATATTAATATGTTCAAGTAGTACAAACACCAAGAATAACCACTGGTTTTGGTATTAGAGAAGGAATTATGTCTTTATAAAGGATGCTTTTGGTAGAATGGTGGGAGTACTAATAAAAAGTGAGTGAAGAAAGAAACAAAAAAAGCTCAGAATCTTAAAAACTAAAAGAAAGAAACAAAGACAAAACAAGGGAAGAAGTTGGAGGAGGGGAATATTTTTTTCTAAATTTGATCATAATGAGGAACAAAAGAAATGGGAAAGACAATATGGGAATTAACTGAAGTTAAGTGAAACTTACAGTTTTAAATGAATTTGATGCCTAATGTTACCACTTTGGTTACTAACAAACACCTGAACCTAAGAGTACTTTAGCCTAATGGCTATCAACAACTAGAAAGCTTGTTTAGATTCTCCAGTTCAACACTGCAAGTTTAACACATATTTATTGTCCACACTATTTCCTCCAAATCCCTTCTAAGTGATATAAATCTATTATAGCTCTGAGGTTAAGACAGACAGTGGATTTTTCATTATCATATGGTGTTAGGTTGTGGGGCAGACAAATGTGACTGTAGACACAGGCAGAACATACTCATGAGAATGCAAAAAATTCCCTAGCTTAGGAGGAACCTAGAATATCAGTAGTCTGTGAAACAATAATCAGGGTACGTTAATTAGATGTATTGTTACAAAAGTGATAAAAATCTACCCTTACACATACTCGATTCCACATGTTGCAGCATAAAAAGGTGTTATGTTTTCATCCATCTCCCCTATCTGTCCACAGGTAGACCAAAAGTGAAGCTACATCTGCTCTCTACTGTGAAATACATACCAGCATGAGAGGATAGAGAACATCCCGTATGTCTTTGGGTTTCCAAAGTGAAGCTCTTCTTATTTCTGTGCAAGTATTGCTATGGTATGAATGTGTTTCCAAAAAGGTAATATATTAAAAGCTAAAGTTCCAAAGCAGAAATATCAAGACAGGGAAATTTAAGAAATAAGTATTTAATGAGGACCATGGCATTGTGGATTCACATCTTTATTGTTGGAGAGGTTTCATTACAGCAGGAGCGTTTACTTCATATAACAAAGAATTTGCCCCCGCCCTCTGCTGTTTCTCATTGCAGTGACCTTCCATCCTCTTTCATGGCATTAAGCACCAGGAGGCCTCTCACACATGCCAGCAGCTTACCAGCAGCTTGCTATTGGACATGCAAACCTCCAAAACTGTGGAGTAAATCCCTTTTCTTTTGTTGTTTTAATAAAGCATCCATTCTGTGCTATTCTGCTACAGCAAAACAAGAAGACTGTGACACATATGTACACAGACTGCCCACCTATTTCTTATCCTTGTGCCTGAAAGAAAGTCTTGCTGACAGGAAAAATATTGTATATAAAGATTTCAACTTGTAAATTTTCTGACACTGAACAAAACCTTCTTCTGGAAATACAGTGTCACTCACACACTAGCTATCAATCATAATTCTAATACTAACTCACCTTAGGCACAAGAATTAGTAGGCATGTGAGAAAAATTTATAATGCAGGATCCAACTGAAGGAAGACAATTTATCCCAAATGAAGCAAAACCCTTTATATATTAAATTGGAATGAACATCTCTACAGATAGTCATAATAAAAAGGAAGCATGTGAGAGTAGAAAAAATTTCCAGAAAAATAAATATATGATTATCACAAAAAACATTGGCCATATGTCTGGAAAATAAGGTGATGGACTTCTGGTGAAATGGCAGAGTGAAAAACAAAAACAAATCAGCCCCTGAAAGATTTAGAATCCAGACACTAGAAAATGACAACTAGGGGAGGAATAGAAGAAGAGAAGTGATCTCTGGATCTCAGGAAGACTCTGAGGGGACAGTGGAAGTCTGCAGAGGAATTGAAGAGAGACTGAGACAGGAGATTAGGGTCTGGAAAAGCTGGCTGGGGAAGGATATGTAACTTTCAAGTACAAAATCCCAGGACACATTCGAAAAACAGTTCTCAAAGCCCTGAATGTGGACTTCTCATGAGAACTTCAGCAGGTTTTTATAGGACAGCCTGCCCTATGATTTAAATAGCCAAAGAGTCAGTTCTTATGCTTGTTGGGCCTCTCATTTCTGTTCACTTTGATGCTGGTCAACTTTCTCACTGTTTAGGGGAAAATAGCCGTTGGTAACTTAGTCTTCTACCTGAGTAGCTGCTTGCCCAAGATTACTCCTCTTGATCTCAAAGTGCATCTGCACTCTTTCCCCTAGATGGCTGGATCTTCCTCAAGATCACCATGTTATCTTGTCACATGGTGGGTGCAATTTGGTGTCAGCCCCCCGTGTTTGTTTCTCAATCCCTTCCTTCTCTCTTCTAACAAAATGCAGGTAGTTTAAAAACATACACCTAGCAACCTGAGCAGAAAGAACTAAAGTATAGCCAGGAAAGTTTAACTGAAGTGACTCTGAGTTATAAGATTTTTAAAGTTTTTTTTTTTTTCCCCTTAAAAAAGAGATATCTGTTTCTACTCTCTTTAACAAAATCCAAACTTTTCACTGTCAGGGTAAATGCAAGAGACATGGTTGCCCAAGTGGCTCCACCCTGCTTAAGGAGAGCCATCAAATGGCTCCATAGGGGCTAAGGTCATACCTGTGGGGGGAGGGGGAGTTCCATCCTGATCTCATGGGGGATTTGAAGGAATCATTAGAAACACTGAATGGCTCAACCATCTCTCCTAAAGAGATAGTGGGCCCCAGTATGGAGACAAAAAACCCACAGTAGGGTTTTTCTTCTATGCGTCTATGAAAGATGTCAGTGTAATGGATTGACAAATGGTGGGCAGCTTGTAACACCCAGCTGAACTCAATCAATGTGGTGCTGGGTGTGGGAGGCCTATCTCAGGACTGTTGCCAGCAGCATAAGAGGCAGAACTAAAGAAGAGGAAAACATTATGAGGCTGTTGGGAGCTGGTAGAAGCAGTTGGGAGCCTGTTGGAAGTAGAGAGAAGCTGTAAGGAGTTGTTGGTTTTCCTGAAAGAGCTCGTCATGCTGGCTTTCCTGATGAACTTGGCTGTTTTCATCCTCCAAGGAGCTCCTGAGAATGGTTTCGGTCTATTTTGGTGGAGCTCTGGTCCCCGCTCTGAGCATCGCTTCCTGGCTCTGGAAGGGAAGATGGTACACTGCTCACTTCCTAGGAGAAGCTTGTCACATTGGCTTTTCTGATGGGAATTTCACTGTTTTGATCATTGGAGAAGCTCGGAACATCACTGTTGCTGAGGATGGCTGTGGTACTTCTCAGGGGAGCTCTGGTTCTTACTTTGTGTGTTATTTCCTGTCTCCAGTACATATCCCTCAGCCTGCTAGCACAGATCCTTCATCCCACTGGCACAGACTTCCTAGATTCCACCACTGACCTTTGGGCCTTCCCAGCACAGATCCATGAAACAGGCATGCGTGAGACATTGTTATGGGCTCTAGGTCTTCAGCTGGACTCATGCAGGACCTTACCATGGGATCCAGGCCTCAGCTGGATTCTTTGTTCTTTAGTATGTGGACAGATTTCCTGCACTCTCTTGTATATGATTCTTTGGGTAACTATTATAAAGTATCTTATAAAATATGTGTCCTGTACTATATTGTTCACCTTTGTAAAACCCCAAACCATGACAGTCGACATCTTTAGAGCTCGGGACACAGACATTTTCTAGTGAATATCTGACTCTCACAAAAGACAATTTGTGGGCTCATTTGGTCTCTTCCTTCCACATAGGACACAAACTTAAGGATTTAAGACCTACTTGACCTAAGCCTCTTTCTGTAGGCTCCAGAATGAGCCGTGGGAAACATCATGAACCATGCCCTGTGGATTCACTGACTTTGCACCTGATCAGTGGGAAAGGTTTGACTCTGGCAATTTAAATGGCAACAGCTCATCTACTATGGCAATCAGGTTTGGTTTCAATGTGAGCTAGGAAGTGGCAAGAAAGGAGTACAGGACAACAGCATAAATTACGAGACTATTTTCAGTTAAACTGTTTCTGCTTGAAATACAGAAGGTGGAGGGCAATCCCTTATTTTCAGGCTTTTGTGACTCTTTTTCTCAGGAAAAGCCAGAAGCTACGATAATTAGAGTGACCCCCACAGAAGAGCAAGATATCTTGATGATCCTGTCCTTGGATTGTCCCCTGTCTCTTAGGGGGATATGTGTCTCTCCCATCTGTTTAATGAATACACTTCAGATGGGATGACAGACACCTATGACCCAATTGATAGACATGGCCTTTTCTGTGTTCAACAATTGGGATCTGGAAGCAGTTCAAAAACAAAAGGCTGAACTTATAGCTATCAAAATTGATAATGCATTTAAATTCACCCAAATAATCTTCATTTATCTATTTTTTTTTTGGACCAGGAATCAGACTCAGGACCTTGCACTTGCCAGGTAGGCACTTGTGCCACTGAGCTGTATCCCCAGCCCTCACCCAAATGATCTAAAGGAAAACCCAAATATAAGCAAATCATGAGTAATCATGGATCTCATGGGTGAGCAATTCAATTGTTACATTCAGTTTTAACTTCCTTTTCTGGAAAACTCTTTTCTGGATTGATAGCCATAGTTAGGGTTGAGGGGACCTTTCAGTATTCATGCTGTCATGTATCACTTCAAATGCCAAATATTTAAACATGAGCTTCTAATTGTCTCACAGCAGGCTACCTTTTTTCTGAAAAGGGATTTATGAGCAAAATTGGGGACAATTCTCAAATTCCAGCAAAGACCAAAACAGATTTTACCTGTTTGGGATTATACAAAGCCTCCTTAACAAAGTTAGCCAACAGGTGGATCCTGCTGATGAATTTGCACTACACTTAGTCTTGCCTCGTTGATGCCTACAGACTCAGAAGTCAGCCACTCTTGCAAACAAGTGATCTCCCAGACCTACCCAAGCAGGCAGCACATCAGGGACCTACCCCTCCCAAATCCTGAAGAGGTTCTGTTCACTGAGGAAAGTAGTTTTGTCCAAGGAAGATGTCAAAAGATAGGTTACACAGTTGTTAGTTCCCAGCAGGTCACTGAGGGCAGAACCTGTTCTGTCAGGGACCTCTGCTCAAAAAGCAGAGCTAATAGTTCTTGCTAAGGCATTGATACCAGAAAATTTAAGAAGCTATGTACCTATGGACTCCAAGTATGCATCTTTAGTGCTACTCATCCATGCAGCAAACTGAAAAGAAAGAGCTAACTAATAAGCAATCATCTACAAAGCACAAGCAGGAAATGCTACAGCTTCTAAAGGCAGCGCATCTTCCCAAGCCGATTGCAGTTATGCATTGTAAGGGATACCACAAAGACTTAGAAAAGTCTTCTTGGGAAATCCAACTGCTGATGGGGAAGACAGCCTTACCACCCCTCAAGGGCCTTATTTTTATTTCTGAGGAACTATTCTGATCCTTCCTCAAGTGATACAATGACAAACTATAAATACTCCACATGGGAAATGGTCACTAGAATTTTTACAGAACTAGGAAAAACCTATTCCTGAAAACCTCTGGAAGACTTGGACTCCTCTTCAGAAGGCGACACTTCTGTCTTGCTCTGGGTACAGGTGAGTAGAGTTATTAATGACCCTAATTCACCTTAGTTTAAATGGATACCTGCATTGAAGTTTGTGTTTTTAATTAGGTCCATTTTGTGCATAATCTTGCTAAGGCGATGGCTCTCAGGCTCTTGATAATTTATCTAATTTCTCTCTGTTATACTTTGTCCTCCACAAGAGGCATGGAAATTGATTTACTCCTCATATTTGGGTTCTCTAGCCCCTACATAATAGTAAAGTTTCTTCCTCCCATAGATCAGAAAGCTCTAGTCACTAATTCTTTTCCCATTGTCTTCTGACAGGTTATTTTCTTCAGCCTAGCCACTGATCCACAACACCCCATGGTAGTTAGAGATAATATAA